CAGCTTATTCAGAGATCTTAAGACGCAGGATAAATGATGCAAGTCACTTCCGGCCATATGAAAGAACAAGAAAGTCCTCTGTTCAGGGCATGGCTCGATGGTCAGTCCGCAATGGTACAACGGAGCAGGAGCGCTTAAGTGCAGTAAACCGAACTTAAGAATCGAAACGCTACAGATCTGGCATGCTCCACAGAACGGTGGGTAACGAACCATTTCTTTCAAGGAATACTGCTGCTAAAGAGAGACATAAAGACCTGTTAGTGAACCTTAAATGAGAGAACAACTAAATAAAAGAGAGTCATCTTGGCACACCGACCGTAGGACCTCGTCTAAGCAGATCATGCACTAGCATTTACATTCATCAGGGATTCTTTGTAGTCAGTCAGTCGTCAACACATGGTCATTAGTAACTCCGTAACTGCGCTGCAAATCCATGATTTACAACGCTTCGTCAACAGTGTTGCAGATGAAGACCGCCTAATCCACTCCTCGATTAGTTTTCTGCGGCTGCTGATATCAGTTTGAAGTTGTGGTTTATGCCTCCCTTGATGTGTGTATTACGAGTCTGTAGTGCGAAAATATTCCTCACATTCTCGGAAATGATGTGTCAGATAGATGTGCGGCACGGCACTTCTCACAATCAGGCGAATGGATGTTCCTGCAGATTCAATTTTTACATCAAATGACCTCAATGATTCAAAAACTTCGGATGTAACTGGAGAACTGGAGTTTATGCCAGTAAATCTCCAATGAATGATCACCAAATGTAAGCAGAAGGACTTGAAATATCTGATCATAGATTTCACCGATCACCAAATGCTGGTCATCTCTTACACAATCGTTAAAATATCGCGTTGGAAACCCGAAAGCAAGAGCCGTTCTGGAACACTATCAGTGGCCGGAACTCTCTTCACGCCATTTTGAAGGACATCGCACAATTTTGGCCGCCTAAAGAATTGCGAAACTGATGTTAGCTAAAACAACTGTTTCCGTTTAAGGTAGTATGTGTACATCAAAAGTAGTTTTCGAAGCGGTCTAGGCACTAGTTTTAAATTAAAGCTTACAAAAATATTTGTTTATCTCTCTATTAACTATTGACACCGGATTTACATGGCGAAAACTGTAAAGCAAAGCCACTTACTTTACAGCGATGTTGTAACAGTAATTGTAACTGTTTATTTGCTCATATTACGAACTGTATCTTAGTTTCAAGCAACAATCAAATAACAAGTAAACAGACGCTGGCGACTGAACGTTAATACGCAAAAGAACTCTACCTGGTGCATTAAACTCAGCAAAAGTGACAGATAATTTTCTTCAACTGCTGAATTAGCAAGCGAGCGAGCGATGAATCGTACCACTGACTTCCGGCACGTTAGTATAAAGCGGATGGTAACAATTATACCGGTTGTGCCGCAACACTGCACCGCCCCCTTCCTTCTAGTTACCCTGGGAAGGGGCGGGGTTTATTCAGGCCATGGGTCTGCAGCCAGAGATAGTTGCAAGCGGCGGAATCGAAAAGCTGCCAATTCTCGGTAGCAACCCTAGACATGCGGGTCTATATTTTGTTTCATTTTTTCTTAGTTTACTCAAATATACTTTTTTCATTTAATTATTTCAATAGGTTTATGAAGTTTCAAGTGCAAAAACTGTTGAATCCGAAACATATCGGCTGAGACTAAGCATCTTACGGCGCGAGTCACCTGGGGCAGAGTCAAACCTGGTGGTAGTTGTCGCCCAGCTTTTTTGGATAACGAGCTATGGCAGTTCTTCGTGCGTTTCAAATAACGTTGGATTTAGGGCAAGGTTTGAAAAGTACGGTGATAAGTTTGTAATAAGAGACGAGAGTTCAAAATCATACATTTATTGAAAATTTAATCAAGCACCAGAGGAAATAATGCAGGGCAAATAGTGGACCTTGCAAGCCTCCGCATTTCTGATAATCATACTTTTTGTCCGTTTTATCGTGACTGCTCGCAAGATTTTTGTCTTTTCTCCAAGTGGCTTTCGTGAGGATGACGCTGCTTGCATCACACTGTACTACATCGTTCATTAGTTCGATGCGTTCAATTCTTTTCATCTGCCACGTTGAGACAAACCATGTGTTCACTTACCCCGTTCTTCAGTTTCCTACTGGTTTTTCCAGTGTAGCTCTATCCAAGCGAATAGTTCATCCAGTATGCTACCCTGGCATCCTCCTTTATGCTAGTACGCCTTGTACATGAGGTTACCTAACCAGTTTGGAGATCTGCAAACCGTGGCTACCCCGATATCTGAACATGAAACGCTTGACTCTTTTACTAAAGTATTTTTGGTATGGGATGAGTAGAAGCGAGGACGACTTCGCAAATCTCTGGCAGTTGCGTTTCTTTCCGGTTGTAAATCTTGTTTAATTTCCAGTCCACTTTGTTGAATTGTTACTCAACGAAGGTCTTCCGATGCCGATTTTCCGCCAGTGAAGACATGGACAGTCGTATGTTATGGGCAGAAACTGCATTTACATCACCCAACCTTTCAAAAAATACTTTCCACCGGTGTCGAGATGGGCATAATGTATACCTGATACGAACACTGAGCAGCTAAAGTTCTGAGACAGATCGTAATTAAATCTGGATTCTTCAATAAAATACCTAGCTAACTCGGACATGTATCTTAGAAAGTATCATTGTATCCGGTCTACCTTGGCACCGATCACCTCAATATGGTCCCAAAAATACTCTTCCCACACCCCGACATTCATGAAACTAGGACCGGTTCAAACGCGGTACGTACCTCCGAAACGTTAGACTACGCGAAGACTTCTCTTCACTGGATCAGGAGAACAGCAACCTTGTCTCCGAACAGGAAAACAACCAGTATCCGACGACCTTCATTCATGAGCAACTAGCTCGAAAGCATAAGACGTAGATTTGGAGCAGATTCAACAGTAAGTTAGCACTCCTGGTATCTGAACGACAAACTTTCTCCGCCTTTCTGTCCTTTCCGCTTTATTTAAACAATCATATGAAAAATCTATTTAGACTAATATCTGTAAACTTTAATCAAATCGAAAACCACTGCTTAGACCTTTTTGAAAAGCTTCTGAACAACACCCACTGATCTGAAAAGTATGACGGGCACCTGAAAAGTAATTATATCAATTGTTTCCTTTGCTTTGCGCTTACTTAGTAACACTTATTAAAAAAGGTTATTATGTGTTAAAATTGTAGCTTAGAGTAATGGGCGAACCAACACACAAGATTTTAATTTTAATTAGGGATCAACGTTCGAATATTATATATCATTACAGTCAAAGCGTACAAAGGCAACCGAACATCAGCATGACTGTTACAGCGTAAGAAACTTCAAATTGGAGATGTTCGGCAGTGGAGCTTTGCCCGTACATAAAAATCGTAAAGCCTCATTCAATAAGCATGTGTTGTATTGCATGCCCTTCCATGGATGCGCACTGTTCAAGATTAGAAGATCGTCAAAACTGTATACGATTTGACATCACGTAAAACAACGTTGGTATGCTCATGCTGTGTGTTTCATACAAACCATGCTTTACAAAGACCTCGGTTGACTCATACCCTCAATCGCGTTGCAAGCCGTCAATATCGTTAATCGTCTACCAGTCGGCTCGGTCAGCAGCCGATGCTTAATGTACGCTTAATGCACTTGTCTGTATCGTTTTAACGACCGTAAATTCGTCGAACTTTCACGACTGTCGAGTCAGCAGGCCATCGATCACTTCGCTTTCCTCATTAAACGTGCATCTGGCTTGATGGTTGTAAAAATTTACACCGTGATTTGGATGACAATCGCCGTCGTCTGTTCTGCCCCGCACCAGTCGAGTCCAAAGGGAGTTTTTTTTATTTTTTGCTTCACTCGTTCCGGAGCTCGGAGCGACATGAAGGAACCAGACAGCTGATGAAACGTCGAACAGATGCGGAAGGAGTTGAATACTCGTGAGAACTCGAGGCGATGAACGGGGAACGGACTCCGCCACGAAGATGATCACTCGCTGCAGATAATTAGCCACTGGTCAACCGGACTGCTCCTGACATGACAGGAAACAGAAATCATAACCTTCACAAAACTAGGCCATCTTTTCAATGATGCGAAAAAAATGCGCGGAATCAGGAAAAAAAGAAGAAAATGACAGTTTGCAACTGTTATAATGTCAGTCTTCCATACACTTTGCGATGTGTTTCTGGCGCTCTTCTTTCATGAAGTTAATGGTGGGGTGACTGATCAGCATTTTTATGTCATCAGGCATGAGGGCATTATTTTAAAAGCAGAATCAACCGCAGCTGTGTGAAAAGCAAAACGTGTAATCGCTCGTTTCTTTCTCACAGAGTGGTACTTATTTATCAACTTCGAAAAGG